CCGCCGCCGACCGCCGCTCTTGATGCGACGTTTTTGATATCTTGTACATATTTTTAAAACATTGAATGAATTTGGACAATAAACTGCGTCTTCGTATTCGTCTTTTGCTATAAAAAATAAATGAATATTGAAATAAAAAGTAACTCAAAAATAGAAAGTTAAAAAAAATATGAAACAACTAAATTTCGACATTAAGGTGTCGAATATATGTCCATAAATTCGACACCTTAATGTCGAAATTTAGTATATTTGGACTAATTTACGAACAGTAAAATTTCAACACTAACGTGTCGATTTTGTACTCCAAAATCGACATCTCAATGTCGATTTTTACCTATAAAATACGTCGTTTGCGCGGGATTTTTTTTTTTTAAAAAATACAAAACAACTAAATTTCGACTTTAAGGTGCTGAATATATGTCCATAAATTCGACACCTTAATGTCGAAATTTAGTATATTTGGACTAATTTGCTAACAGTTAAATTTCGACACTAAGTGTCGATTTTGTACTCCAAAATCGACATCTCAATGTCGATTTTTACCTATAAAATTCGACATGTACGTGTCGACTGCGTCTACGCGGGATTTTTTTTGGAAAAACGATATTCTAGCTAAAAAAACACATAAATGCATACCTTCTTGGGTTCTTCTACCGTAGAATCTTCTATTTTGATGTTTTCTGACTCCATACTTGCCATCTTTGTAAGATTTGTTGAGTTTTGATGATTTTGAATGTTTAGGTTTTGTGGGTTTATGGAGGAGGAAGGAGAAAGGTTTTGTAGGTTTTGGAAGATGGAGAAGATGAGAGTTGGTCATGTGATTTTGTGACAGGGTTTTTTGTGTGTTTTGAGTTTTTGGTATTGCACATTTGAAATTTTTATTTTTTTTAACAATTAAGGGTATTATAGTATTTTCACATTGAAATTTTTAATTTGGTCTTGCACACGTGGAATTAGTCTTGCATATAGACGCAACCTTTTTTTTTTAATTGAATTTTATAAAAAATAATAAGATCGTAAGATTTAACCGATTCAAATATTATGGTCAGATTAAATCTTACGACTTACGATTTGATTCTTACAATTTTTACAAATTAAATTTTTTTTTTATTAAAATTGAATTAAAAGGATATTAGACTTTAATTATAAACAGTTAACTCGATTAATACGTTCTTGTCAATGTTTGAACTTAATCGATTCAAATCTTTAAAACATATTTACAAATTGAACGAACTTGAGCTTAATCGATTTAAGTCTTACTATTTGATTCTTACATATGTTAGGAATTAAATTTATTATTTTTTACGATAAAATTGAATTAAAAAGAAAATAGACTTTAATTATAAATAGTTGCTTTAATTAATATGTTGTAATCAATTATTAAGTTTCATTGATTTAAATATTTGATTAACGTTTACTAACTGAAAGGATTTGAGCTTAATCAATCAAATCTTACTATTTGATTAAACTAAATATTAAAACAAAAAAATCACAATATAGTATTTTGAGTATATAGTTTTATTTTAAAGTAAGAAAACTAATTGGAATGAGCTGTAATCTATTTTTTTTCTAAATAAACATCTTATTTTATTTTTTAT